GGGGGGCGGGGGGCGGGGGGGATAATCCTCAGCTCCAGCCACTTATTTTGAGAGACACGCAGTGAACATCCATCTGCAGATATAGCAAGAGAGTGGGAGAGAGAGAGGGAGAACAACCATTTTGCATTGCCCTCTTCCCTTTCTCTGGCAACGAGCGTGCCTTTTCCCCGCCTCCCTGTTCAACAAGGAGGACCAAAAGATTACAAAATAACCGTTTAATGGGCTGCATCAAAACTCCAGTGTGTGAATCATGCACTTGCTGTCTAGAAATTGCTCAGGTTTCAATTTTCTTTCAAATTTCCTCATTATAATCATTTCGCATCGAGAGTACCGTTTCAATGTCTTCTCTAAGTTTCTCCCATTTTGTGTGCCAACAGGAAACAAGAAGAGTTCTGGAAATGGTGTTGTATGTGTCAGTTGCTATTGAGTCTGGGTTAGCTCGTATCTTACCTGCTTTTTGTCTTCTTTTGTGGTCTGGGTTATTTGCGTCCGTTGATTTGGTTGACTTTACAGCGGTCTGTGGCCATTTAGTACACTTGGCTGGCCAGATGAATCATCAGCGGATTTAAACAAGTTTTACCCGACAACAGTACTAGAGACAGCGTAAGGACCTCGGTCTCATCCAAGACTCTAAATTATCTTTATGATTTTTACAAAGCTTCGTAATAAGGCGGGGTCCTTCCTTCCTTCTCCTCCCTCCCTCCCCCCACCCTCTCTCTGTTCCCTTATCCTTCCATGCCTCCACTCCCTCACTCATGCCACCCCTCACTCACTCACTCACTCACTCACTCACTCACTCACTCACTCACTCGCTCACTCGCTCACTCCCTCGCTCACTCACTCACTCACTCACTCACTCAATCAATCACTCACTCACTCAATCCATCCACTCACCGCACTCACTTGCTCACTCATTCCACTCAATCCACTCACTCGTTCACTCGCTCACTCGCTGCACTCACTCACTCACTCGCTCACTCACTCACTCACTGCACTCACTCACTCACTCACTCACTCGCTCACTCCCTCGCTCCCTCGCTTCGTCACTCACTCACTCACTCACTCACTGCACTCACTCACTCACTCACTCACTCCCTCACTCACTCACTCACTCACTCACTCACTCACTCACTCAATCCATCCACTCACTGCACTCACTTGCTCACTCATTCCACTCATTCCACTCACTCGCTCACTCACTGCACTCACTCACTCACTCATTCACTCACTCACTCACTCACTCACTCAATCAATCAATCAATCAATCAATCAATCAATCAATTCATCCACTCGCTCCACTCACTTGCTCACTCGTTCCACTCACTCCACTCACTCGCTCACTCACTGCACTCACTGCACTCACTGCACTCACTGCACTCACTGCACTCACTCACTCACTCCACTCTCTCGCTCACTCACTCATGCTCTCCCGCCCTCCCTCCCCCTCCCTCCC